ATTTTTTCGTAATTTTGAAGCGCCCTGTATATTGGGTTAAACGAAATTGCAATCCGATTGAACAGTGCAATACTACGTCCAATACTGTATCATTTCAATAATAAAAATAAATGTATTTTTTCGCAATCAAAAGTTGTACCCACCGTTCCAGTTTCTCCCTAATTTTGAAGCGCCCTGTATATTGACTTAAACGAAATTGCAATCCGATTGAACAGTGTAACAATACGTCCAATACTATATCATTTCAATAATCAAAATAAATGTGTTTTTTCGCAGTTAAAAGTTTCAACCACCGTTCCAGTTTCTCCTTAATTTTGAAGCGCCCTGTATATGATACGCGAATTTCCAATCCGATTGAATAATTCAACAATACGTCCAATTCTATACCATTTTAGTTATAAGAATAAATCTGTTTTTTCATATTTTTTCGCAATCAAAAGTTGTACCCACCGTTCCAGTTTCTCCCTAATTTTGAAGCGCCCTGTATATTGACTTACACGAAATTGCAATCCGATTGAACAGTGCAATAATACGTCCAATAGTATATCATTTCAATAATGAAAATAAATGTGTTTTTTCGCAGTTAAAGGTTTCCACCACCGTTCAAATTTTTTCTTAATTTTGAAACACCCTGTACATCACTTTTCACGAAATTGCAATCCAATTGAACAATGTAACAATCTGTCCAATACTATATTATTTCAGTGACAAGAATAAGTGTGTCTTTTCATGTTTTTCGCAGTCAAAGGTTTCAACCACCGTTCGAATTTCCCCCTAATTTTGAAGCACCCTGTACATTAGTTTACACGAAATTCCAATCCGATTGAATAGCGTAACAATACGTCCGGTACCGTATCATTTCAATAACAAGAATAAATGTATATTTTCGTATTCAAAAGCTTCAACCACTATTCAAATTTTCCCCCAATTTTGAATCACCCTGTACATTGGTTAACGGCGAAATTCCAATACGATCAAACGGTTCGTCACATGGATCCCCGGAGCTAATATAGCAGTTGCTATACGCAATGTAACAATAAATCCAACACTACGCCATTTCGGTGATAAGAATAAACGTGCTTTTTTTTTCTTTGAATTTCTCTCTAATTTGGAACCACCCTGTACATTAATCAACACGAAATTCCAACCCGATCGAACTCTTCATTTCGGAGCTAAATAAACCGGGGTTATTAACGAGTGATCTGTTTTCCTCTTTAGAGAAATGATCGCTTATTCTAAGGTAATACGTTTCTAGCCGTTCGTTCGAACTCGCTTCATCGTTCACTCCTCGTTACGTTCGACCGAATCGCCGACCGCCAGAATTCTCACCAAATCGTTCGACGTCTCGTCGACGTTCGTGTATGTGACCGTGTCCCGGTTCTTTCGCCTGATGTCCCAGTGACC